CATTTCTCACTTTTGTTGCTTTTTGTATTTAAAATCATGTAAAGTAGAGGCGGGCAATTCATTTTCTAAGTGGCAACATGAGAAACTGGGACTGTTGTGAAGGGCAGCACCAATAAGCTGAACTATGTATTCATTTTCTCTTTGATTATCGGTGTAGCCCTCCACAACAGTCCCAATTTCAAATGTTGCCATTTGGGAAAATAAATTTCCCACCCCTCATCCAAGGGAAGATACACTTGTAAAGCCTTAGCCTTTAATCTAAAGGCTATCCCCAGCTTATCTTGCTAATAATTGTTTTATTTATTTATCCTTTTCAGAGTTGAGTCTGGAAAGGCTGGTTGCTTTTCTCCTAAAACAAGCAAAAAAGAAGCTCCACACAAGTCCCTGCGCTTGCGTTTTAGCCTCGGGGGGAAGAGCAGTAAAGACGCTGTAAGTGTGTTGGCCTGATGGAAATCAACCACTTCTCTGGTTTTCCCATAAACACAGAAAGATTAGTCAGGTGCATTAATGCATAATCTGCAATTCATACATTTGCACATGAGGAGTAATGTTGGCATGTATTTGTGCACAGTAGCACTTTTTTATTGTTGTTTTTAATGTTCTAAGTTTACTTAAAGTGACTAACTCTAAAACAAGTAATCCATGCAGGACTTTAAAGGTAATTGTAATATGATGTAATATTACTGACTAAATTGTGATATTTGCATGGTACCAGGTAACAGTAGAATGGTATTTGTTATGCTTAGATTTCAGTGATTTTACTACACTAAGCACTCAGGTGGAAGAATGTTAACATATATATAATTACATAAAATATATTGTAACCAGTGTTTGAGTACATTGTGTAGGCTGTTTAAGGGCTCTATACTAACGCTTTATAGTCATTTGTGTATTCTTGATTTAATAAAAACTTTAAAAAAAAAATCAAATGGATTGTTTCTTCTGAGTGATTTTTATCATCCTCTGAAGAACTAACCACAAAAGTCCTGATATTAACATCTTAATGTTACTTTTTGGTTTTTTTCTGTGGGATCCTTTTTAACAAAATACTACTCTGACATTTCACCCTCTTTCATTTCTCATTTCATGCTGCTCATAAAGGCTTCTGAGTCCATTGGTTTGCGACTTGCCAAACAGGAGAGCACCACCAGTTTCCGTTTCACCAAAGAGACGGAGTTCATTCCATCAGTTCAGCCTGGAAAAACTGAATCCAAGAGTAAGTACCAGACAGCTGAACTTCATGCTTAAAATAAAATATTAAATCTTCTTGTCATGTCATGTAATGCATATCAAAAATGTACCTTTCCAGGCTCCAAGTTCATTAGTAAGTCTGAAGACAACTTGCTGACGCCCAGATGTGACTTAAATGCCCACCAAAGCTTGTGGTGTGCAGAGACGCCCGTAGGAGCCCAGGCCTTGAGCGGCGGGTCTTTCACGGATACTCCAATGAACCTGTGCCTTAAAAGCAGCTACATGTCTGAGCCCGCCATCGTCGTGTCCAAGCCCCCAGCAGTAAGCAGCCTTCCCATGAAGTTGTGTTGTGCTTCCAGTGCAGAGAGCCTCGAGAGCGAGAGCTCAATCCCTGAAGCCCAGAGACAAACCGGTCCCACCCTGCTGAAAATCAAGAAGGCCTTCTCAGAGTCTGGAAGTGATCTCCAGGCTGTCATACAGGAGTCCCGCAAAGCCTCAGGAGCAAGTATTTCAAAACCATCCAACATGATCACAGCCCCTCCTCCAGAGACTTCAACAGCCAAATCTCTGTCTGTGCCAAGTGAAGCCCCCAGCTTCTGTATGCAGCAGAGCCTTCTGGCTAATGAACAGAACATTACTTTTGGCCAGATTGAAATTGCTGCTTTGTCTCCTTTGCATATTGATAGTGTAGTTCTTGAGGCTGCTGAATCCCACAGCCCAGTCATCCAGGATGAGAAAGGTTCTCTCTGTGCTGCTCCTGCTGGTGGGAATAACAGCTTCACAGTAGGAGCAGGAGAAAGGGAGATGGAGGAGATGAACTGCAGCAAGTTGATTGATGCTCTGGATATCCAAAGCCCTGCTCACTTCAGACTAGGTGTCTCTTCTGGACGGCAGTCAACTCCATACAAACCAGGTCTTGAACTCCGAAATGAGTTTGTTACACCACCTAAAACTGACGCTGTAGTCAGTGTGTTACATGACAAGAGGGAACTTTCTCCAGAGATTGGTACCAAAGTCCAAAAACAACCAACGTTTTCATCACACAGTCAGGAGGCTGAAAGACGTCGTGTAGCAGACCACATTCAGCACTTCAACAAGCTCACCATTTATTCTCCCACAGGCTCAAAGAGCAATCAGATCAAGTCACCGCTCAAATTCCACCGCACCCCTGTGCGTCAGACTGTTCGCAGGATTAACTCTCTCATGGGAGAGAGCAGGAAACCTGTTAGAAATACAGGTACCATCACCAACCAGCGTGGACAAGTAGCAAAGGCTGTGAGTCTAGAGAGTGGCCTTTCCTCTCACCCAAAACTTCAACCTCACCACCGAGACCACGAGGTGCCATCCAGCCACACGTGCCCTTTACAGAAGCCCCCTCCAGTGCCTCCAAAAAAGTCACGCACCAAGTCCTGTGCGCTGGGCGACGTGACCAACAAGGTCCAATCAAAGACCCAAGTGGACTGCTCAACCAATGAGCAATCAGGAGCTCAGAAGCCTCTGCAGCAGCTAGCCGGGAAGGACATGAACTATTACAGAGGTTCACCCAGAAACCCTCTCAACCAAGGAAGGCTGCTGTCTGCTACGAAGCCTGTCGATTTATAGTGAATATCCATTTGGCCTCTTCTCTCCTTTAACTATGCAGGTGTCTGCTGAGAGTGATGTTAAACGTCCTAACCTATTCATGTTTTCAGGGTTAAATTATTGTCAGCTGTCTAGATGCTGTTTGTGTTGTTTTAGGGCCTTATTGGGAGATGTTTGTATGCCTTACATTTGTTTTACTTCAGTAAAACCAATTTAGAAGTTAAGATGTCGACACATATCAGCCTATAAGATTATGTTTAGTTAGTAGTGTGCAGGCTAAATTGTGTAAAATGTGATTGGTGTGACTGGGATGTTTTGATTGAGT